GGAATGCCCTTGTACTTGTTTATCTTCTCTTTGATTTCTTGGAATGAGTCAAAGAAACCAACCTCAATGCAGAATGTTTGCTGGTTCTTCAACTCGAAAGTCACGTCCATTTTCACCCCTCACTATTCTACAAATCATATGCTTTCTTGGAGCTTTAAGAAATCAAATTTATTTCTTTAATCCACAAAAATTTGACTTAAAGAAATTCAGAAACCGAACAAACTGAAAAAACAATTTTTTTCTTTTACTGAATTGGACTGATTTTGAATTTGATTTGAAAAATTCATTCAATCAATTCCAAACTGAACTAATATATATATATATATATATATATATATATATAAACTTATTTATCGCTTAGTTTAATTACATGATTATCCCATAAAAAGGAATCAACAAAGAAGGATTCGTGCAATTTTTTTTATAAAATTTTTCATACTAAATGATGATTTTAATACCTCATTGTTTAAACTGATGAAGATATTACCTCACTTTAATTAGTTTAATTGTGACTAAATTCTAGTCAAATTATTAGTAATTAAATATATTTTTTAATAACTATATAATGCATTTTTATATAGAAAAGCAAATAAAAGTATTATTTTCATCTTATCTATAAAAAAAATATGGGTATGCTTTTAAAAAAATATAGTTTTACATTATCAACTAATCAAGTATTAATGTAATGAGAGTGTAAAATTTACATTATCACTGTATTACATATTTTCTCTTGTATTAATTGGTAATTTTATTTTATATAAACATAGATTAATCCTAATTTTTTTTGTTGCAAATTTTAGAATCTATTTAATACTTTGTTATACAAATTCAAACTAATATATATATTCAAAAAATTATATTATACATTAATTTGAATTCATATAATGAAGGATCAATTCTTTTAAAATTAATTTTAATTCTTATAAAAAAATTCTTTATTTTTAATTCTTCTAAAATTTGTACTCATACAATAAAATAAAAAGATATTAAACAGTAATTAAAATCAAATTTTACTCATTTTATAAGGATTTTTCAGGGTAAACTCTTGACAAGTGTTTGTAAAATATTTTGTCTTTATAAAATGAGTAAATTTTGATTTCGTTCTTTATAGAATATTTGTTTTCTTTGATTTTCACTCTTTTAAAATCTAAAATTACTATTTTTTTTTACCTCAAACAATGATTTTATGATATATAAATAATGTTATATCTTAAGGACTTGTAAAAATTTCTTGAAGTATCATATATTAACGCGACATTACATACTAACAAGTATGAGTAACACTTAAGATGATCACTTAATATTTTAATAAATATAAAATACTTAAAATGATTACATAATAATAAAAACTTAAAATAATAATTCTAAATTTTAGAGGGATAAAAATAAATCTTTTTTCAAAAAGACTAAAATCAAAACTTGTTCATTTTACAGAAAATAAAAACATATTTAAGCTTAATTTATAAATTTTTCTATTTACCAAAATTTCAAATAAGTTAATCAGTTTTTTTTTTAAATTTCAATAAAGTAATTAAAGCATTTAATTTAATCGATGTTTGATACTTCGATTTATTACTTTTTTAATATAATTTCTACATATAGTGAAAATTTGACACTCTTGTCCAATAAAAAAAAAGTGTGGTGGGTAAAGTAGTTATTTTAAAAATTAACAAATTTACCATGCATGTCAAGTGTGTTTTTTTAGATAAAAATAACAATTAAAACCCATTTGCATTGTTAGTATATAAACTATCTACTCTTATTATTTTTCAACAATTAACTGAAATTATGAATGAATAAATTAATTTGGAAAGCGAAGCTGGTTGGAAGGTGGGAAATGGAAGATCAATTAGCGTGTGGTTTGATGAGTGGCCCCGAATATTAGCTCCATCCGCTGAACGGTGGAGGATTGGGATATTGATCCCTTGTAGTTGTAGACATCATCCGCCTCAAGTAAGGTCCTCGGATGGCTCTTTTTCATTCAACTCTGCGGGGACACAATTGAACCAATTCCAACACTTTCTTTATAGCTATCTATTATATTATATTAAAATATTATAAGTGGCATGTTTAGAAAAATATTTTTAATATAGAAAAATTAACTCTTATATGTTAAATACAACTATTTATTTTGTACAATAGTGTTTTCAGGAGTTTTTCTTCATAAAGAATTTTTATAATTTTTTTTAAAAATTTATTATCTAATTTAGATTTTATTTATCATAATTATTAATAAATTAAATTATTTTAATATTTTAAAATAAATTATAAACAAATAAATAAAATATTTTGCTATAAGATAAATTATTTATCATGAATCTAAAATATAATTTGTGATTAAAAGTATTTATTTATACAAATTTTAAATATAATTTATATATTCAAATATAATATTATTTATATATAATTTATTATAAATTTTAATTATATATAATAAATATTTAACATGAACTAGTAATATTTATATATTATTAATATATAATGGAAATACTTTTTTTGAGTAATCACTTTTAGTTTTCATATTTAGTAGATAATTATATTCTTCTATTATTAAAAAAATTAAAATTTATTCTAATATATAAAAAAAAATACCCTTTTAATAATCACCTTTTATTTTTATATTTGATAAATCATTATACTCATCTATTATTACTATTTTTTAAAAATCAATAATTTTTTTTAATAATTACTCACTCTATATATTATATAAAGAGTATACCTCTTTTAGGTTTTTAGACATTCATACTCCTTTATTGTATATTATTTTTTTCCATATCCCTTAAGAGTCAAATAAAAGAAAGACATGTATAAAAATAATTAATCATCTATTCTATCAATAATAATTATCCTCTTATTTTATAACCAACTTGATTTCTAATTTTGTTTAAAATTATTTTACTTTTTAAAAATTATATATTATATACTAAATTTACATTTTGAAACCTTTATTATTTTTATAAGTTATTTTTACTATTTTTAAACAAAATACATAGTGCCTCAACTCCCCTCTCATGAATCTAACATGAAGTCATCCGCCAGCCACCTACTGTTTCGGCAGACCCATGACCCCGTTTAAAGTATCGTTTAAAGTATCGCAAAGCCGCAAGCAGTGACACTGCAGGAAGAGTGGAAGGAGGAATACTTCAGGTACATCTATATTCACGTCATAAATCTACTGATTTCATATAATCTCATTAAAATTATTGAACTCTACCAAACATGCGATTGTAGCGAGAATGAGACTAGGTACCTGATTCATTGAAAGAATAAAGCAATATCTAAAGCAGCGTTATTTGGTGTTCACTGTTTACAAGCTATCAGAGAGCAACAACAGCATGTGTAAACATAGTAAATTTTGTATATTAATCCACGATTTCGTGGTTGTCATGAATAATTCTGCTTCCCCCCAAAAAATCAATTGCTGCTTTCCAATTTTAATTGACATGTCGTGGTTCAGTTCAACTCCAGAAGTAAAACAAAATTTAGTACTTAAAAGCAGCAGATGAGGAGACTAATGCAGCTATCTTCTGCGCTTTGATTCTTTTCGCATCTCTGCTACATAGCTCTCCAGATTCGATTTCTCCCACAAACGTCTGAGCACAAGATCTTCCTTTGTTGCTTCATCTATTAATAACAGGCACCAAATCAGTAAAATTCAACAAGTTCAGAGACATTAACAGATATTCTTGTAGGTTATTCTATGCTAGTAGAACCCAGAACAAGTAACCCAAACATAGAAAGCAGGATGATTCTACTTCCCAAGAATACCAAGGGATAAATTATAATCACCTAAAGTTCTCCATCTATCGTGAGGAATACCAAGGGATCTTTGTGCCAGATAACAAGCATCTTCCCAAGAATAGGGGTACTTTTTCACTTTGTATCTCCAAAACCAACAAGCAGACCACAACAGCAGCTGAATGGAAAACAGAACTGATTAGTATATTGCACACACAAAAAAATATTAATTTTCAAGGATCAGCAATATTTGTGGGAAAAAACTTCACATATGTACACTTAGAATTACAAAAGAGAAATGAAAGATTCATGCCAAGCAATTGCAGTTTCCAGATAAAAGATTTGAACTCTAACCTTGCCTAAGGTATAAGGTAATAGAACAAAGCGGACACCAAGAAGTTTCCATACAGAGGGCCTTTCAGCTCCAGTTATCTGCAGCTCGAGTTCTTTGCTAAGGTCTTCCTCTATTTTCCTGCATGTACAAATTCCTCACATTGTGTGATTGTTTAAAAGTAAAGACATTGCTGTCCAGTCCACAAAGCCCAATCTTACAGATGAAGGACAAAATGATTTAACAAAGGAAATAAGAGTTTGCAAGGAGGAGAACCAATTCGAACAGGTCATTTACAGGAAATTATTTTTGGGAGGTGCAACTCAACAGCTGCTAGACGTAGGAAATTACGTACAAGAACAATATAAGGCATTTGTTTCAAGGTATATAATTAAATTCCTAGGAATACAATTCCTGGGCAAGCTAAACGGTGTGTTTGGTTAAGATTTAATATTTCTATGAATGTTTTCAGAATTAAAATATAAAAGAAAAAAAATAAAAGTGGAAGTAGAAGGTATTAGTTGGAATATATCATAACTTCTGACAATCTCATGGAAATTTTATATTACCACTCCTCGCCACAGAAATGAAAGCTAAACAAACTATGAAGATAATTCATTCCTTAAAGTTAAAACTTATAACATGGGAATATTATATTGCCAAGTTCATATTCAGGGGAATAATTTTGCAGAACTTGAAACAAACAAGCACTCATACATAATGAGGATGATACCATACTTGTCCATATTCTTCTGACTCTTTTTCTTGTTTGTAATCCCTCCACTGCGTTCAAGTTCCAAAGCCCTTAGTTTATTTTTATATGCAGGTGTCTTCTTGACCATGGCTACAGCCTAAACGCAGAAAAATCAGTGCAATGAACGTGGATGTCTTAATCTTTCAAAAACATTTTCTACAATAACAAATTAAGCAATTTGCACAAAAATAATTGTTATATATATCCTTCAAATGAAATTTGCACAGCCCTGACCTACTTCAAATCTTATGCATGTATCTAAGACTGTAAATCATTGCAAAACATGTTACTGGTAATGACGCTTGTAAATCATTGCAAAACAAACGCATGGCACAGAAAATTTTCACCACAAAACTCGGACAGAGGCAACCCTTGACTTCAAGACCTACTTTCCTTGCTAAGAGATGTTAATTGTTCCACAAAAAAACAAGTTAGTTCTACACCCATGAATCCATATGACATGGTTTTTACAGATCCAAAACCCTTAACAGCATTGAGCTCATCTACATAAGTCATCTACATACAATCTCTAACACCACAGGCACAGCTCTTCAACTTTTAGAAGCCAATTAGAGAATATTAGTATAAATCCATGGTACATTTTCACATCAGGGAAGTTTTATAATAAATCATATGATATTCAATATATCACAATACCTGATTATACCTTGTTGATTGATTTAGATATTGGAAACCTGAAAGAATAATAAGAAGGCCAACCAACACAGCCCGAGGATCCTGGCAGGTAAAAGTACAGAAGTAGTACAAAATGAGACTCATGTGCTAAAATCAATCATTCCTAATCAACTTTATCCAAAACTTATAACAAATCTCACCGTCTTGTGACCATAGTATGCCCGATAGTAGCGTGCAGTATTATAAAACACCTGAGTTAAAAGATGAAAACACAGTTCTAGTTCAACAAAAACTAAAAGGATAGGGACGAACAATTCAGGGTTATTGATCCCAATTTTAAAAAGAAACCAAACTTTCTAGAAAAGTCTAAACACCTCCTCTGGATGTGCAATTGCATAATCATATTGTTCTCGCGTAGCCTCGTCCTTCAAAATCTGTAAAGAAGTTATATTTCGGTCACTAGCATCAGAACCATTTCCTCACCAAAAACAAAACAATGCGGTCAACTTTCAATTAACATCCCATCGCAAAACGCTCAATTTTATCCAAGACGCACTCCTACTTCCGAATCATTGAACGAAAAATAAGCAAAGTACCTCGTAAGCATTGGCGATTTTAACAAAAAGCTTTCGCGATTCTGGATCAGGGTTTTTATCAGGGTGACTAAATTAAACAAGAAAGCAAAGAGAAAAGAATTATTTAAATGAAAAGTAAGAGAAAGCGACTTAAGGAGTTGTAGTAAGAGAAAGACTTACTACTTCAAGGAGAGTTTGTAGTAAGCTTTCTTGATTTCGGAAGCATTGGCACTTTGAGAAACCCTACAAATAAGAAGAGGAAAAGAAGGTTAAAAAATAAAGCAGAAAGGAAAGAGAATTGAGGGAAGAAAAGGAACGCTAGGTGACCCAAGCAGATCGTAGCAATCATCTTCGTCGCAGTAGATTGCGCGCGAAGGGGAGATGGTGCTTAGAAAGAGGAGCGCCACAAGAAATGGGATTGCGGTGGTGCGCCACCGGATCGCTGCCGGCGGCGGTTCCATTTCGGTGAGGTTCTTTTCCTACTTTCTCTCTGTTGACCCAAACTCCGGACAGCCGATGCTCTTGCTCTCTCTTGCCGCAAATCCGATCTAGTTCGGGTCTTCCATGCTAATTCTTTTATTATGCTTCCATTTTATATTTAATTATTTATCGTCTTCTTTGCTTTTTAATAATTATATTATTATTACTAGAGCAAAGACTTATATATATTGCTATACCTTGTATTTTTTAGAATTTGACTTTACTGTATTTTTTTCCTCCTCTTGCATACGTTTATGCTTTATCTATGTTTTTTTATATATACATGTTTATGCCATATTTCCCTGCAAGTTTAAATATTATATTTTGTTTCGCTATCTGTATAATATTTAACGGATTGGAAGCCCAGTAGGCCCATAGCTTGAATCCAAATTATGCAGCCCCTTTTGGGCCTTTTAAGCCAACCCGTGGAGCTAGTTGCGCGTTGGTTTAATAATCTCAGAAACTAATAATATTTAATTGGGCATGCGCATGCGCATGGGCGGGGCCAAGATGTACGAGTGTACGTAGAGTCTCCGAATAACTCCTTTTTTGCTTTTATTCAGTTTCAGCCAGTGTTTGTGATAAAGGAGGGGATGCACTATTCAAATCGCCAATCAAATAATTTTCTTGTCATTTTTCATCTGTACCTATTATTTCAATCAATTCTCAACAACTGATGATAATAATTATATGTATATGGTCCATTTTATGTGCCCATGGGATCAACATGTCAAACATGTATAGAGTTTGCACTTTAGAATAGGAATGCCAAATATACCTGTACGGGACGCATCTACTTGTTGAAGAGTGGGGGTATTTGTCCCCACTACTATTTGACATATATATAATTTTTTATTTAAAAAAATAATATATTTTAAAAAATAAAAATTATATTCTAATAAAATAAATATATATGTTT